TTTAATTACGTGTGGTTTTTGAGCATTTTTGTATATCACCTTGGGTTCTCATGAGGAAAGAAAGGTGGGGTAAAAATATATATAAATAAATAAAAATAATTTACAATGAAATTGGTAGCAACAACAGAAACATTCATCTGTTTCACTGACACTTTCCCTCTTTCTAATTTTTGTATTCCTGTTCCTTCCAGACCTTCTGGTTTCAATTCTACACTGTATTAACTAGCGTTAATCAAGAGGCTGGACTCATTTTAGTTTGCTTGAGCAAAAATGTATTCATCTGCTTATTAATGCATAGATGTTGTTATCATCTAGCAATGACCTGAATGCCCCTGAAGGACTAAAACTATATTTATCATCATGCTGGCACCTTTTTCATTTTTACTGCATTTCATACCCCACCCTCACCCCCACTTGGTTATATGTATATACCTCTTGAGGCTTCGTTCAGTGGATTTCAAGAAGTAAGCTGCAGTCCACAAAAATGAATGCCAGGTAAAAAATTACTGGTCATTGAAGTGTCACAAAGTTCACTGTTAATTTGCAAAGTAAGGGGATTTCTTTCTACTGTTCCATCTTGCATAGACCTTACTATGTTGGGTTATAGAATCCTAGAAAAGTGAAGTTGGAAGGGGCCTACAAGGCCATCATGTCCAGCCCCCTGCTCAAAACAGGAATACAATCAAAGCATATCTGCCAGGTGATTATCTAAGTTTTTCTTCAATTCCTCCAGTGTTGGAGCACTCACCAACTCCCAAGGTAACTGGTACCACCGTTGTACTCCCCTAACAGTTAAGAAGTTTTTCCTGATATTCAATCGAAATCTGGCTTCCTTTAACTTGAGCCCATTGTTGCCTGTCCTGCACTCTGGGATGATCGAGGAGAGCTTGCCCCTCCTCTGCATGACAGCCTTTCAAATATTTGAAACGTGCTATCATATCACCCCTCAGTTTTCTTTTCTCAGAGCTAAACATGCCCAGTTCTTTCAGCATTTCCTCATAAGGTTTGGTTTCCAGCCCCCGATCATCCTTGTCACTCTCCTCTGAACTTGTTCCAATTTGTTAGCATCCTTTTTGAAGTGTGGTGTCCAGAACTGGACACAATACTCAAGGTGAGGCCTAACCAGTGCTGAACAGAGAGGGGCTAGCACCTTGTGGGATTTGGAAACTATACTTCTATTAATGCAGCCTAAAATAGCCTTTGCCTTTTTTGTAGCTACATCACACTTTTGGCTCGTACTTAGCTTGTGATCTACTACAATTCCAAGATCCTTCTCACTTATAGTTTTGCTGAGCCACATATGCCCCATCTTGTAACTGTGCAGTTGGTTTCTTTTTCTGAGGTTCAGTACTTTGCACTTATCCCAGTTGAATTTAATTCTGTTGCTTTTGACCTAGTGCTCCATCCTATCAAGGTCATTTTGAATTTTGTTTCTGTCTTCTAGGGTATTAGCTATTCTGCCCAATTTTGTATCATCTGCAAATTTGACAAGCTTTCCCTGCACTCTCTCATCCAAGTAATTAAGACAAATATTGAAAAGCACCGGGCCCAGGACTGAGCCTTGGGGTACCCCACTAGTTACCTCCTCTCAGTTAGAGAAGGACCCATTAATCATCACCCTCTGAATATGATTCTGTAACCAATTGTGTATCCACCTGACACTTAATCTATCCAGCCCACACCTATTTAGCTTGCTAATCAGGTTATCATGGGGCACTTTGTCAAAAGCTTTGCTGAAGTCAAGATATACTATGTCCGCAGCATTCCTTCTGTCTATCAGGGAGTGGCTTCTGGTTATTACTGCATTGTTTTCTAGGTGCTTGTACAATGACTGCTTTATGATCTGTTCCAGTATTTTGCCTGGGATTGATGTCAGACTGACTGGCCTGTAGTTCCCAGGTTCCTCTCTTTTGCCCTTTTTGAACATAAGGACAATGTTAGCCCTCTTCCAATCCTCTGGCACCTCACCTGTTTCCCATGATTTCAAGAAAATAATGGATAGCGGTTCTGAGAGTCCTCCAGCCAGTTCCTTCAGTACTCTTGGATGAAAAGGTACTGTTCTGTTGTTGTCGTTGTAATTTTTGCTGAACCTTTAAGAGTACAGTTTCTTTGGGGTCCTTTTATACCTGCTATATTCTGTTTACTAACTTGAGCATTTTTCAAGAAAACTCATGCTAACAAAATAAAACAGATGCCTCTCTTCCACTATGAACAAACAGGAGTTCACTTACTCTTCTTGAAGAGCTTCTTCCGACGTCCAACGGAGCTCAACTTGTATTCGTTCTCCTCACAGTTGCAATCCTCACTGTTTCTGCTGTAGTACTTGGGCAGGAGGTTAGAAATCCCTTTGTTACCACCAGGAGCTGTAAGACTAGCCATCCCTTTGCATTTGTGCAACTTGAGCTTCCCAGTGGCATCTTCCACACACTGCCATTTCTAAAATTCACAAAACAGGGAAATGATAAAGGAACAATATTGTAAAGAAAATGTTCTGGGATCTACCTTAAATATTCAAAATCATTTGACATTAACAGCTGGTTAAGGATCAATTAAAGGTGGGCAGGCAAAGATGTATTTTTCCCCCAGTGCCTAGAAACTGAGCAAGTTTCAGGCCAGGCTACAACCTCATTACCATGTGCAGAAAATCGAGAGGCTAAATGATAGGCCACCCTGATGGATATTTACAAAACCTTTGTAAATATAGTTGTGCTAAAAATGAGTCAACCATGCAATGTGGCAGCAGACAAAGCAAATGTAATACTAGGCAATTTTTGTCTAGTCATGTTTGACTCTAGGGGGCGGTGCTCATCCCCATTTCCAAGCCACAGAGCCAGCATTTGTCCGAAGACAATCTTCCATGGTCACAGGGCCAGTGCACTGTTAACTTCCCACCAAGGTGGTCCCTATTTATCTACTTGCATTTGCATATTTTCGAATAGCTAGGTTGGTGGGAGCTGGGACAAGCGACGGTAGCTCACTCCATCACGTGGATTCGATCTTACAGCTGAAGATCTACAGACCTTACAGCACAGAGGCTTCTGCGGTTTAACCCGCAGCACCACCACATCCCTTTAAATGTAATACTAGTCTGCCTCAAATGAAATATCACACCCAGATCAAAGGAATTTAAAAAAAGCAGCACTCTATTCTGTTTGATCAGAGCTAACAAGAAATAGTGCCCATTTCTGGGGGCACCACAGTTTATTGAGAATATAGACAAGCTACAATATACCCAGAGAAATCTGACCCAGACAGTAAAAAGGTTTAAATACCAAATCCTTTGAAGAATGTATGAAAGAATTTTGTAGGTTCACATGGAAAATAAAGGTGGAGAAGTGATGTGAGAGCCAATTTAAATATTTGTAGGGCTGTCATGAAGCCAACTTGTTTTCTATAGCTCCAGAATATAGATCCAAAGCAATAGATTCAAATTATAAGAAAGGAAATTTTGACTAAACATGAAGAGGAATTTACTGACAGCTAGAACTGTTCAACAACAGAATGAGCTACCTTAAAAGACATTCTCCTGCACTGGAGTTTTTAAAACAGACTTAAGATAGTCATCTGTCAGGGATGTTTCAGCTGTTGATTTTGTGTTTGGTCAGTGTGTTATGTTAGATTCAATAACCCTTAGGATCCCTTCTGATTCTACGACTTTACAGAGTAATAGTAATAATGTGCCATCAAGATGATTATGATTTACAATCACCCTTTCCAGGATTTTCTTGAAAATACAGTCGTGCTTCGCTTGACGAGCATAATCTGTTCCAGAGAAATCGCTGTAGAGCGAAATCCTCGTCAAGTGAAATAAAAAAGCCTGTTGCAACCCATTGAAAACTGTTCAATGCGTTCCAATGGGCGAAATACCTGCCCGTCCAGCAAAGATCCTCCATAGGGCGGCCATTTTCGGGTGCCTGTGCAGCGAAAAATGCCTCCTAAAAACAGCAGGGAGGCATTTTGAGCAGCCGGTGGCCATTTTGAAAACCCGACAATCAGCTGTTTTGATTGTCATAATGTGAAGAATCAGTTCCCGAAGCAGGGAACCGATCATCGGGAAGCAAAAAAAGCCCATTGCAACATCATTTTGCGATCACAATTGCGACCGCAAAAACATCATTGTGAAGCGGATTTGTGGTCAAGTGGGGTAATCGTTAAGCGGGGCACCACTGTACAGTATACAATGGTTTACTACTCCCATCTTCTGGAGTGCTTGGGGACTGGATTGTGCACTTGACCAAGGCTACACAGGCTGGCTCTTTTCCTAGCAGACACAAAGTGGATCCCTAAAATTCCCCAATGAAGACTGACCATGCTCAATAGCCACAGAATGCCAATTGACTGGTAGGGAGATCAGCAAATGGGGTGAGTAAGAGAATGGAATATTATGTTGATGAACTAGAACAGCCATTATCAACCTTTCTGCTGCACCTATAACCAGGGTGGATAATGTTATATGGTCATCTGTGCACAGCTGCACACAGCTGCTTTTAACGTTCTGATGTTCTTCATGGGATGAGATTTTTTTCCTTTTTTTAGTGTCTGGTATCCATGTAACTCTAAAATCATACTAAATACAAGAAAGACTATCCTTGCCGATAAAACAATCACATCATGTGATGTAATACAGTGGGGTCTTGACTTGAGAACTTAATCCGTATTGGAAGGCAGTTCTCAAGTCAAAAAGTCTGTAGGTCAAGTCTCCATTGACCTACAGTGCATTGAAAACCGATTAATCCCGTAACAGGCCGTTTTTGTTCCATTTTGATGTTCTTGATGAGATTTTTTTCCTTTTTTTAGTGTCTGGTATCCATGTAACTCTAAAATCATACTAAATACAAGAAAGACTATCCTTGCCGATAAAACAATCACATCATGTGATGTAATACAGTGGGGTCTTGACTTGAGAACTTAATCCGTATTGGAAGGCAGTTCTCAAGTCAAAAAGTCTGTAGGTCAAGTCTCCATTGACCTACAGTGCATTGAAAACCGATTAATCCCGTAACAGGCCGTTTTTGTTCCATTTTGGTTTTTTTCTGGTCTGTAAGTCAATTCTCAGGCTGCAAGTCAAACCTAAATTTTGCGGCCAGAGAAGTCTGTAACTCAAAAAGTCTGTCAGTCAAGCCGTCTGTAAGGTCCTGTGATGTAATATGTTCTTTTTCTTGAAAGGTATTAGGATGCAGGATGTTCATTGTTAACTGATGGTGGAGGAAAGATCAAGAATAGGCTTTCCCCCAATATCCTACATAACTGTATTTTCCATGGTCAATGAGCACTTGTGCCAGCCTCATAGCGAATCAGAGAGACAAGCAGCAAAAACTATTATCATTGAAGGGATTATCACTGAAGCTCCCTCCTAGAATTTCAGTTCCTACAGGGCTATAGATCTGTATTTTGCTAACAGAAATTTTTCCACCAAAATGTATACGACAAGAAAACAGAAAAAATATATCCCTCACAATGTTTGAACCTGAGCTATAGTGATCTCTGCACACCCACTGTATTTTCTTTCGAAATGAATCTTTCCAGATGGAACAGGTCACATGATCACACCAATTAGTGTTGGGACTGGCACAGCGTCTCAGTATTTCTGGGAGGCACCATCATATAAGTTAGCCCCCTTTCTCCCTTGTGTGAATGCTGTCATCACTTTGCTACAAGTCCATTACAGACCTTGTTTGCTTATTCCTCTGAGACCACAACTACAGCATCTCCTAGAGGACTTGGAAAGTACATGCGGAAGTTACTGATCCTTCCTGTCATTCCTCTGATTGTTTGCTCACTTGCTCAGTGTGAAATCATATGTTAAGAGGAATTAGTGTTTCTTGCTGTCACAAAGTGTCCTCTCCAGGCATGCAATTCCTTTGAAGCTCAATAAGACTTACAAACAAATTGTTGCTACAATATGGAAAACTGCTACAATGCATTTTAAACAAGCAAAATATTAACTTTAAATGAAGGTTGATACCAGCCAACAGGACAAAGTGGCTCTCTGCTCTAAGGAATTGCACATCTCTGCTCTGGTGATTCCCTGACCTTCATAAGTGGCTTTTCACTGAGATATGAGGAACAGAAAAGTCTTGTTGGATGTGCAGAAGTCTTTGAGTAGTTCTTTCTACCTTGCCCACGGTTTCTGTAACAACGAAAGGACAATCTTGTTGGATCAAACCCAAGCTCCCTTGATTCCAGTTCCTTGAACCCTAGCTAGCTGCTTGCCAAAAACAGGCCATTAATTCCTCCTTGTTGCTCCTTAGAAACTAGTATTCTGTGGTATTATGCCTTTGAAAACAGAGATGCACTGTCTAGTAATACTCACTGATGAGGGCTATTCTCCTTTACGAGGGGGTGCTGATTATTGAGCCTTACCGAGAAAAAATTGAGCTAGGAAGCTGTAACTGCCACACTATTCTACATATTCCCCGAGGAAGTCAATGCACTTGTGACATCTGTCCTGCAGCTTCCTAAAATCCCTGCAAATAAAATTCTTCCAACTGCTGGTGTAACCACTCATTTGCAGCATTAGTTGCCCCCAGAATACTCCCAAATCGTTGTCCCTGTAGGTGTTTTTTGAGTTTGGGGAACAGATAATAGTCAGAAGGAGCCAGGTTGGGAGAATAGGGTGGATGGGGCATCCCTTGAAAGCCTAAGGAGGTCAGTTTTGCCTTTGTTTCATCAGTTTGCCCAGGAAATCTGACTCATTTCTTGCAAAATGTTCCAAAACAGCCGCCAGTGACTCCACACATTTCCTCTTTTGTTCAGTTGTCAAAAGTTTAGGGATCTGCTTTGCTGCCAGCTTTCTCATTTCCAAGTCACTGTAGATAATGGCACCAACTCTCTCACGTGATATTCTCAAATATATAGGAATTCTTTTGGCTGATATTCAGCAGTCCTCCATGAACATGTCGTGGACGGCTTTCACATTTGCAAGCACAGAGACAGAAACAAGCCTTCCACTGGGTTTCTCACTTCCAACACCGAAATGGCCAGTTTTAAAATTGACAACCCAGCATTTAACTGTTGCATATGAAAGGCCACCGTCATCCATAGCTTGTGACATTTCATCATGGATCTGCTTTGCACCTTTCCCTTGGAGAAACAGGAACTTGATTATGGTCCTATGCTGTTCCACAATGAACTTTTCTGGAGGTGCTACCATGTTCACTTTGGACCTGAACATGAAATGTAGTTGATTTTTGCACCATTGAATGCAGACAAATTGGCCAATACACCCTGCAATTTATAGCTCCCTAGCTCAATTTTTTCTGGGAAAGGCTCAATACTTATCAGCACCCCCTCATACTTTACCTGATCTATAATGCTTTCAGGTTATCCTTTCCATCTTCTGCCTTAACAGAACTACATGCTGTTTTTGCTGCTTCTTTAAATAAAATGAAGATGTCAGCACTAATATCAACAAAGAAATTTGAAAATATAAGAAG